TCACAGTAGAGTAGTCGGTTCCGAGGTTGGACCTGCAATGTTTTGAAAGCTGATAGGGTTCTTTCACAATCAATGTCAACTTAATTGATCACGGATGCATAAATTCCATCAACTCTTCCTAACAAAGGGAATCTGAAAGCCACTAACTAAAGCTCTGGCCCTCTCCTGCGCACCCACTCCAACAGCATTAGTGATGAAGTGAATATGCATACCGTACATCTTTGGATATGCATCTTGGTTGACCTCGATTTGAGGCCAGAAACCCATCGCAGCTGGGGGCAAACCAAAGCTAACAACACCGGCAACGTCGCTTGCCTTGACAGCATTACTCGACGCTGGAAGATACGATGTGTGACCGCTGACTGCAGTAGGTATTGGGATACCGGGGAATTCACGTAGACGTGGTAAAACGAATTCGGTAAGAGTTGCGATGAGGTCGTACATGGCAGAGCCTTTGAGAGTGACTTTGGCACCGGCGGGCATACCTGAGCGTATCCACCCTCCGACTTGCTTTTTTCCGCGAACTATTTCGACACCTTTAACGCCCTTTGCAAGAGCGCCACCTCCTGCTTCGGTTTCGCCGCTTAGGGCACGGAGAGCAGCAATGACACCGAGGAGGTTAGACCGCGATGTCAAAGCATCTTTAGACATAATGTGTATTTGAACAGCCTCTAAATGGGTGATATTCGCTGGTGTACTTGGTTCTGGAGGAGTTTTAGACCACTGAGTTCCACCGACTGGCTCGTTTTTACGGTATTTGGAGTAAGGATTAGATGGGTCCCACCGGAGACGGATTTCACGAGTGGATTTTTGGGACTGCTGGGATTGGAGTGTATGGGAATAGTTCATGTACATGAGATTGTCGGAGAGGGTGGTATGATAGTGGTCTGACAGTCGACACGGTGCGCAGTCGCGCACACGAAGATTGACTGGGGGACGAGGAAGTTTACGACGTGTATCGGTTGGAAGAGGTTTACGGATTGGCGGCGGCTTGCCAAAGCGTGTAGGTCGAATGAGAGGCATTGGAGTAGAGCAGGTCGTTACTGTCAGAAAAACTAGAACCAAAAGTTTTATGTTTGGCGAAAAACCAAACAATTTATGGGCGTCTAACGGCTTTCTTCTAATTATCTATGGCTCCATTCAGCCCCGACAAATGGATAGAACAACTACGGCAATGTCAGCATTTACCTGAAGAATCAATGAAAACGCTCTGCGATAGAGTACGGGCTCTGTTGATGGAAGAATCGACTATCCGACCTGTATGCAGTCCAGTTACAATCTGCGGAGATATCCATGGCCAGTTCTGGGATTTATTGGAATTGCTTAGGAAGGGAGGGGACGTTCCGGAAACAAGTTATATCTTCATGGCAAGTAGGTGTTTGCTCTTAGGTGGAATGACAAGGCTACAATTGTGAATATTTGTTGTTTCTTTAGGGTGATTTCGTGGATAGAGGGCATTATTCTTTGGAAACCGTCTCAATGCTCCTCGTGCTCAAGGCTAGTTGGCCAGACAAAGTCACTTTACTGCGAGGAAACCACGAAAGCCGACAAATAACACAAGTTTATGGATTTTATGACGAGTGTCAACAGAAATACGGTTCAACAACAGTCTGGAAAGCATGTTGTAGTGTTTTTGATTACTTGAACCTGGCTGCTATCATTGATGGAACGACGCTTTGTGTGCATGGAGGGCTGAGTCCGGATATTAGAACGCTAGATCAAATTAGAGTGTTGAGTCGCGCACAGGAAATTCCTCATGAAGGACCGTTTTGTGATTTGATGTGGAGCGATCCGGAAGAGTTGATGGATAATTGGGCGGTTAGTCCTAGAGGGGCAGGATGGTTGTTCGGTGGAAGTGTAACAAGAGAGGTGAGTGAAGAGGATATCTTATCGCAAGTTTGTGACTGATTTTCACTAGTTCAATCATGTCAATGGACTTTCTCTTATCGCTCGGGCACATCAACTTGTTCAGGAGGGATATAAGTATATGTTTGACCAACAGCTGGTGACTGTATGGAGCGCGCCAAATTACTGTTATCGGTGTGGAAACTTGGCGTCGATCATGACAGTGCATGAATCTGGTGAGCGAACGTTTGAGGTGTATGGGCCTGCGGCCGAGAATGATAGGGATAAGGGGATGCAGACGAGGAGAATGGTAAATAGAATTTATCTTTGGCTTTGTCGATACCGTTACTGATTATCAACTCATTATAGAATATGCCATATTTTGTATGAACATGGACTATCTGTATGACCCGCACTGTATCGTTATGCCTCTTCGTCGACTGCTACGATGGCAGTGTATCATTCATATCGTTGGACGAAAAATAACAGGGAAGGAGATGCTCGGTATTGTTCAAACCTGATGGCTGGAATTTTCAGAAGTTTCCTCAGAATATGGGGGGTCCTGAATACATCTTGGATTTCAGAACGAGATATCTACACTGCAGGTTTATCATGAAAGCCCATATGCAGATTTGATGATATCGGCAGCATGTTCAGCGATACCATAGACAGCTGCCGAGGTATGTGCTGCAGGTAAACTGGGCTGTTGAAATATGTTCCATGAACATAGTATTTAAATGATTCTTGGATACAACATACCGCAACACTAGCATCGACAATCCTCAGCCCTTTCACTCCCTTTACTCTCAAATCTGGATTGACCACACCCCAGTCGGTTGTGTTGAACGGGGACATAGCGGCGGTTGCTACTGGATGGAAGAAACTGACTGCGTTATCACGGATGAATTCGTCGATCTGGTCGTCTGTGGTGGCGTTTGTGAGATCTTGGAGGATGTAGTCTGACCAGGCAGTGGAGGCGTTGATGAATCGGTGGGCGGTGCGTATGGCTTCGCGGAGGATGTGGATGTCGATTTGGGCTGAGAGTAGGCCCGGGTCGATGAGAGGTGCGTCAAATGGGTTTGTGGAATTGATGGTGATTGCTCCGGCTATGATTAAATATGAGTTTGTAGGTTACGAAGGATGGTTGTGTGGATTGGGGACTGACAAGATTTTGGTGAAACGTTCCCCGCTGGGATGTTCAAGTAATTTCCGGAAGCCGTAACTTGACTGAGGCCGTTCTATGAAGAGGGATTATAAATTTACTGGAAGGAAGGGAATGAAGAACGCCTACTTGGAACAAGAATTCAAAATGTGCCGTTTCATTTCCCGCTGCTGGATCTCCAAACGTTTGAAGGATAGTCGAATTTTCCGGGAGTCGGAGGAACGCCAAGTGGTTTTCTGAAGTGTCGACGTTGATTCCTGTTTTTTTTTCTTTCCATTGTTGGAGGAGGGTTTCTGCCAAGGTGGTGTTGCGGAGGACTATGTCGTATGTTAAAGTGGAGTTGACGAGCCATGTTGAGGAGACACCAATGTGGTCTGTGAGGTTTTGACCTACGGATGGGAGATGGAGAAGTGGGGTGATACCCAAGGAGTTAAGAGTTGTGGCGTTGCCGATTCCGGAGTGTAGTAAAATGTTGGGCGTGCCTACTGCTCCCGCGGAGAGGATGATTTCTTTGGATGCTGTAACGTTTTTGAGGTTCCCTACACGAAGAGGGGTTAGTAGAGGATGGGTACATTGATTGAACACACCATCTGCAGAGTCTAGATACTGTACTACATTGAACGAATCATTTGATGAGGGTAAAACTCTTGCAACCCTCGTGTGTAACAAAATATCGAGATTTTCTCGTGCGAGGACTTGTGGGGCAAGATATGATGCAGAGCTTGAACGAACACCTTCGTCTATGAGAGCTTGGACCCAGCCTATGGTATTGATAGTGATCAGAGTGGAGAACAAATAATAATATAGGACATACCGACACCCAGCTGATCACCAGTGTTCATGTCAGTGGTGAATGGGAATTCATCCGGAAGCTTTTCGGTAGTCTGTATGACTCTACCGTCGATTGCTCTACTAGCGCCTGGGACGCTCACTCCAATGTACCCTTTGAAACCATGGAAGGCTGGATCAAACTGGCCGGTTATGTTGTGTCCGTCGACAGGGAGGTTGAATTTTTCACTCTGAGTGAAATGTAAGAGTAACGATGAGGCTGAGAGGAGAACGAGGGAAGAACAAACCTTTTTGAAGTAGGGAAGCATCGCGTCCCATCCCCAGCTTGGATCTTTTGAAAGCGCGGCCCATTTATCGATGTTTTGCTTTGACCCGCGGGTGTAAACGAGGCAATCTTTTTGGAAGGATGTAGTAGGATTGAACATTGAGCATAGTTGGTACGTACTGACTGCGCTAGTTCCACCCAAGCCTATACCTCTCGGGAACGGCAATACTCGATTGTTCAAGTTTGGTTGAGGAGTTGTGGTGTAGTTCCAGTCCCATTGTGTGTTTGGAGTTAGTTTGGTACATAGGAGAGGGACGTCGATGGTGAGACTGTCGTTGTTACTTTGATTGGATGAACATTGGAAATTGAGGGAGAATAGGACGGGACTCACGCTCCGCCTGCTTCGAGTAAGAGGACAGAGATGCTAGGGTCTTCTGTAAGTCTGTTTGATACTGTACTCCCTCCAGGACCGGCTGTTGAATGATTACAACCAATGGAATGAATAAAATATGGAGCATTCTTTTACCTCCGATGACGATGAAATCGTAACTCTTGAGGTCTGCTGAGGAGTGTAAGATGGCTCCTAGGCTGAGGGGAGTGAGATAAACTAGAACGCTAAAAATCAGGGAGAACAAGGAAAGCATGAGGGAAGAGAGTTGAAAATTTACTTTTGGATGGCCTGTGCTTTTATTACAATCACATTGCGCACTCGAGAATAATAATGATATTATAGAAGCTTGGAGAGCCAAGCATGGCGATGGAGATACAATTGGGTCTGATGACCGTTGTGAATGAGAATAATCGATGTTCACGCACAGGTCATAAATTTCTTCTCTTTCATGTTAACCTATATACATTAAGAAGTAGAAGAAGGCCCGGGGAAATGAGTGTTCTGATAGTGTACGGTACTGGAAAAGGCAGAGTAAAAACAAAATATAATTCCGACACGGGGAATCGAACCCCGGGCTATCGCGCACTTGCAAATGAGAGGCGATAATGTTAGCCACTACACCATATCGGATTACAAACTCCTCAATATGCAAAGTAATAATCGGAGCAAGCAATCTCATAGTAAATGTAAGTGTATATAGAGTAGTAGTATCAATTGCTAGAAACGCCAGCCAACGACCGCCAATTGGAAACAACTTTTTTGAAGTGGAGGCTTCCGCGTCTTGGGTTGTGATTCATTCTATGTTCTTCATCTGCAGAAAGATTTGGAGGAGATAAAGTACCATCCTCCCTCCGCCAAACTGTACGGTTTGAAAGCCCGAGCTGAGAAAGGAGGTATGATCTCCCGAATCTGCGTTCCATTCGTTCCCAAAGATAAGAGAGCGCGCGGAGACGGCGGAGGGTGCCTGGATAAGGGGATGTGGCGGCGAAGGGCGGAAGGAGCGGGTGCGGGGTTTCAGGGTTGATGGAAGGTATTGTGGGTGCTAGAGAAGGCGGGAGAAGAGTTCCTTGGTCTCGATAGTTGGGAGAAGAGAGGAAAGCGCGCATGAGGGCGATGTACAGAGGAAAGTCGGTTGGTGGAAGGGAGTTTGAGGGTATAGAAGGAGGGGGTTCTACTCATATGAATCAGTATGAGAACGGAAATGTAGTGTATGAACTTGCGATTTGAATTCTCCTCTTCTAAGGCACGAAGGACTTTATGATCTTCTTGTGTGTCCGATCCTTTGATCGCTACACTCTCCAATCTGGTTAACACGACCCAAACTTTACTCTCTTCCCCTCTCCACGCCCACCACCGTGCCATTTCAGTGTAGTGGTATATTGTTGGAGAGAGGTTGAGAGAGAGGAGTGTCCGGAGGATGTAAGTTGGAGTTAAGAGCTGCGAGGAGGAGAGGGATTTATCTGCGCAGAAGAAAGGTAAGAAAAGAGACAATATGTGTCAAGAGAACACACCGTTGGTATCGTTTGAGGAGGACGGGAAAACGGAAGCGTGCATTAGCTTGACGATGAATGGGGTAAAGCATTCTGCGATTATCGGAGATGGATGCGCTTGTTTAGGCCATTTGGACGTCGTCGACTCAATTCGATGACCACGACTAGTCCATGATTTAGGTGTTTGCAGAGTAGCGTCGGAGACTAATCCTTCTGGTGAAGCAAATTTAACCAATTCTTCCCATAATATACCTAGTTTCTGGTGCGTCGGCGCAAGATACGCTAGGGCTTGCCAGACGAGAGAGATGTGTAGACGGTTAGGGAATAGTTTTGGGAGGTTTTTTTTTGGTAAGAAAGTGAGAGTGGTGAGATAGAATTTGGATTCTTCTGAGGATTCGTCGTAGAGTGCGTTGAAGAAGGAAAAGAGAGAGATACCGTGGATATGGAAGAATCTGTGAAAAAGACGGAGGAGAGCCCGGTGGGCAGAGGAACCGAGAGGTTGGAGGGTGTATGAGGAATTGGTGGATGATATCCCAGAGGAACTGGATCCTAGTCGGAAGAGGAGAACCATGTGCGCAAAGAGAAGATGGGAGATTGAGCGGTAAGGGGTTGGAGAGAAACGGTGTGTGTGTGTGTGCAATAGGCTGAGAGCGTTGCGGCCACGAGAACTGGAAAACAATTAATGGGTTTGACAGAGCGAACGGATGGAACTCACTCGTCGCGCAAAGAAATGTAGGCGATGAAAAAGTCGACGAGGTCTTGTGTTGGTGGAATGTTTCCTGAGGCTAGAGTTTTGGAGAGTTGCCGTAGAGTATGAGGAAGAAAAGTGCTGGTTGTGCTCAATGTACGAGAAGTGGATGGAATGGCCATATCCCGTAGTTGTTGTATGTGTATCTCTTTGTTGGGCATTGACGATGAGAGAAGACGGGAGAGAAGGATAGAGTGTGTTCTTTGGTGGAATTTGAATTTGGTTGACAAGAGAGATACTGCGGAAGAGAGATGCCCGCTTTCTGCGAGATGGCGCACTGCAATGGAGCGGGCGTTGCTGACTTGGATGTTGGCGGACGAGTACGCGCGGATGTTTGATTCGTATTGGTGGTAGAATGTAAGAAGTTGGGAAGGGTTGCTGTATCGGAATATACTGGGAATAAGATGTGTATTAGAAAAGGAAGAATACCCTTTTTGTGCGAGGAGGAGAGAGAGCGACGTGAAGAGCGGGAGAGAGGTTAAAGAGTTGTCGAGGTAAGAAAGAAGAGCTGTGAATGATGGGGAGCGGTTAAGATTACGCGGTGGGTAGTGTTTGAACCACAGCTCGAAATCTGACATTCGCTCGGAAGCGGAGAGCGGGAGCGAAAGTGCCATTGAGGCGGGGAGAAGATATACTGTTGATGGCGGTATTGGGTGTTCAAGTGACTGAAGGTCGAGTAAAAGGCGACGAGCTGCGTTGTAGCTGTCGACCGACAGTGACGAGAGAAGGTCGTGCAGTGTATGGATAGCTGAGAGCGTCGTTTGAGTCGACGTTGACGAAAAATCGTATTGATCTTCGCACTCAAAGACGTCTGAGGATACATCCAGCTTTTCTGGTTCCAAAGCCCATTCCACCTTTGTACTCGATCCGAGAGTAGAAAGAATTGGAAGGATTTTCGAGCGTACGATGTTCGTGTATCCTTTATTCGCTAAAATGATTCCGAGATGGTTTATAGCTTCTGTATGTTGAGCTTTAAGCAGTTTTGATATTATGGTGTTGGGCGGTTCGGTGTCTGCTGGGTACAGAGATAGGTATTTAGCCATTGCTGTTGTATTGTTTGTCGAATACGCATGCAATGCTGCTGTTTCGTATACTCGAGAATGGGGAATAGATGAAAGGTCTGTTTGTAGCAAAAGCGTAGTGGCGACATCGTATTGTTTTGAGCGCACAAGGTTTAATAGCTGGTCGGCTGTCGTTGTATGCACTCGACGCAATGCAAGAAGCATTAATTGTGACATGTGACGTGACTGATGCTTCAAACTGGATTCATCAACAGCGCACACAGCGACCTCGTTACATGCGCTGCATATGATTATTATGGGTTGAAACTCGCTACTTGTGGGCTGGATCAGAGAATATGTGTTTGGAGTCTCGATGAAGAAGAAGAAGAAGAGGGAAAAGGAAAAGGAAAGTGGGTGTTGAAAGATGAATGGAAAGCTCATGATGCCCCAATTTCTCATCTTGCTTGGGCTCATCCGGAATTTGGAGACGTTCTGGCTAGTGCTGGCTTTGATAGGACTGTCAAGATTTGGGAAAGGCAAATCCGTGCAGGCTGGCAGGAGACAGCGGTCTTGTTGGACGCAAGAGGGAGTACAAGACAGGTAGAGTTTGCTCCGAATGTCTTTGGCTTGAAAGTTGCTGTGGTTTCGACAGATGGGTATTTGAGAGTGTATGATTGTTTGGATCAGACTAGACTGGATGCCTGGGCGTTGGCAGAGCAGGTCGATTTGAGTCCTCCAATCAGGGTCGAAGAACAAGCAGCGACGCAGGGTGTGAGTACACCTGAGATACCAACAGTTGTAAATAGGGAAGCAGACAGTGGATGGTCTTTGAGTTGGTGCAAGGATAGATATTGGGGTCAGTTGGTCGCTTGTGTTGCTGGGCCTACCGGAGTGGTCAAAGTGCGTTTCATCTTTTCACTTTGATTATATTCCAACTTTGTTTCGTAGATTATTCAATTCTCTCCTTCTCGTACCCCACAAACAGTTCTCAAACTTGAATCGGCTGCTACAGTGACCTCCGTATCATGGGCGCCCTCTTGTGGTCGTTCATATCATCTCTTGGCTACAGGAGGCAAAGACGGGCATGTGAGGATATGGAAAGTCGATGGTCCGATAATTGATGAGCAAGAAGAAGAGGCGTTTGATGATACCGATGAGGACGAACACATCAGTAGAAAGACATGGTCCGCACAACTTGTCGCCGATTTCGATGATCATGCGAATTTGGGAACTCAGGTTGGCGGTGTAGTGGGTAAAGTAGAATGGAATGTTACAGGGTGAGTGCGCGGCTCCCCAGTCTTGGTTGCGCTTTTTTGAAATACTGTCACACAGAACTATACTCTCATCGTCCGGTTCAGATGGACGTGTTAGGTTGTGGAAAGCTACTTCTACGAGTGCAGGGAGAATTTGGAGGATTGCAGGTAGTGTTGGTGTCGAACAGCGCGTAGAGGGGGAGGAATGATGTTTACATGATACATGGTCCTAAGTGGAAGACTGAGTATCATTAAAAAATACTTTGCATTGGCTTTGCCTCGGACACCTTCCAAGGGCGAGCAAAGTGAATTCTAGTCTCTAAGTGCCAGGTGGAAAATGTGTAGTGGCAAAGATCTATGTCTCTAATTCTAGCTGAGAATACCAAGTTCTTGTAGCATTTAGCAGGGATTCCTCCCTGCGTAGCGTACGGGAGCCAACCTCCCTATCCCTAGCTATGCTCCCTCCCCCAGCCCAGCCTTCTCCCTTCCCCAACCTTGGCTCCTTCTGCCTAGGTAGCCTTGGCAGGGGGGCGCCACCATGGTGTTAGGGAGTGTAACGTATGCTATGCACCCGTACAGTAGAGGGAGGGAGGGCCTCTGTGTTGCGCCTCCGTTTCGCTTATCCTCCGATAGGCTGTGCCTATCTCGGAACTTAGAAAAGTTTCTCTGATTTACAAACTTAGCCTGACATGCAGATTAACAATATTATAATGAGTAGCCACCCAAGGAAGGTAAGAGGGTATTGTAGGAAGGAACGAGGGAGCGCATCTTTTGATAAGGCGTGAAGCGTAGTTATGATGGTGAAAGGATCATCAGGTGTTGCGAACGAAACTCAAGGAAATAGAATTTGACGCAAAAAAGCAACAGTGTTGAAGCATGTAAAGAGTTATATACAGATAGATGCAGATAAATGGAAAGAAGATGCAAGCAGCAGAAACGACCAATGTAACCATAAAATGGACAGGAAAAAAAAGTAAACAAAATGAATATGATCGTGCGCGCAGACTGCGAAACAATACAATGAGCAACTACCGATCGGTCAAAGGATTTAACAGCTCACGGTCAGACGGTAGGAGTGTCACTGGTATTTGTCACTGGTATTCCTTCTCAGTCACCTCTTTGGTCGTTTCCTCTGCAT